CCCAACTTCCCTTTTCCCTACACCAGATCACCATCTGATGTACCCAGCCACCTAGCGTACTCAGTTCCCCTTTACTGAGACGCAGAAGTTTGATCAGGACTTCTCTTCCTCCCAATTAATTGGAGGGCCAAAACCCCTTAGTGCACTTACCCTTAGCTGGTTCCGTTTCCCCCCGGTCCGTCGCCGTCGGTGGGCAGGGTATCAGACAGACGAGACTGCTGCGTTCCCCTGGAAAAATTTTTCCATTGCGCGCTGAGTAGGCAGTGAGTGATCCTCTGTCTTGTACCCTGCTCAGTAGGCGAAGGGGCTGCGTTCCAGCAGACCACTGATCCGAGTCGCAGGCACCATAAAATGTAGCACCCTGCTTGTGGTTAACGCTTAGCTGGAATGAAATATTCAACGCAGCAACAGAGAAATTAAAATATTAATTTATTTGTCAGACAAATAAATAAGAGGCACAGTGGTATATGATTACCAAGCTCTGGCCTGGCCTCCTGCCATTATGGCCAGCACTTATATTCCCTTAATCCAGCCCCCTTTGCTCCTCCTTGGGCTGCCTCTGTCCCATCAGCCTGGTTGAAATTCCTATTGGCTGATTAGTATAACCAATCACAAAAATACACTCATATCCTCCTGTCCTTATAAGGGAGACAAAGAGCTATATATAAATGACAAATAAGTAATAATATATCTTACATGGAATCTTAATTACCAGCTCACCTCTTGCCCTATTGCCTTCTAAAACAAATGGTTAATCTTAAATTTTTATCTTAAACATATGTCAAGGATCTTGAGTTTCACATCAATATTGAAAGATCTCCTTCATTTGAAGGTTTCTAAACAAATATCTGACAACTTATATATCAGAATTGCTCGGATGGCGTCTTCTTGTCTGGCAGGGGCTGGACTCAATGGCCCCTGTGGTCTATTCCAACTCTAGGACTCTATGATTCTATGAAATAAGAATCTAACATCTAAATTTGTTACTTTCTAAATCCTTTGCATAGTTACATTTAAGCCAGCATATTTAATACACAACACAGGTAGCTTCTTTAAAAGAATAACTCAGTAAAAAGGAACACAGTAAAAAACCGTTTTAAAAGAAGCCTCTTCCCTGTTCATACTTCCCCCCCTTCTCCAGCCAGTCGCTTTGTTTTCCATGTGCTCTTGGCCTTTTGACCTTAGGCTCAAGTTTAATGGAGGCACATGGTTTTATTTTACTATTTACTCATTCCTAATTATGTAGGGTCTGTGTAACCTTGGTCTTCAGCCTGTAATTCCAGCTTTTACGACTTTGAGAATTGTTTTCTGCTATCAATCAAGGGGCCCCTTGTCTAGGAAGAAAACACTGTCAGTGTTTTCTTAAGCAGCTAGCCTTCTTGCCTGGCATGAAACTTTTGAAAATCTAAGCCCATTTAATTTAGGAACCTGATCAAATATAAGCCAATATATGCCTTGATTAAAAATGCAGTCTATATTCAGATGCCACATTAAGACAGGATCTTTGGAGCACTCAAAACAGAAACATTCAGCCCTGGAGCTACCACTGAGTTCTGTGTAAAGGTACAGAAGGACCACCATCCATAACCCAAAGATCTACCCTAAGAACAGCTGTTTGTTAAGATTGCCAAGGCTAGGATAATAAGCACTGTGTCCCAGATGCAATAGAACACTCTTAGGTCAGAATAAAGGACTCATAGAATTGTAGGGTTGGACTAGTGCCATCTAGGTTAACCTCCTACAATGCAGGAATCCCCGACAGATGGCCATCCAACCTCTGTTTTAAAACCTCCATTGGAGAGGTCACCACCTTCTGAGAGAGTCCATTCCACTGTCAAACAGCTCTTAGCATCATACTACTGGAATGCTTAAGTAGCAGATGGAATTAGCCAAGGAGATGTGGACTTCTTATTGCTCAAGAGCCTACAGGATGAACATCTGTCTGAGATTGAAATCTAGGCCATAGTGCAGTAGAGCACATGCTGCACATGTTGAGGACCCCAGGACCAATCCCCGGGGCTGGGCTGGGGAAGACCCCTGTCTGAAACCTGGAGAGGCACAGTCAGTTGGTGTAGACAACAGCGCTGAGCTAGGTGGAGTAATGGTCTGGCTCAACACAAAGCAGCATCCCGTGAAGGCAATCCGGTTATTGTGGAAGGTTGGGATTAGATCGTCTTGGAGGAATTCTGTTTCTACGGCTGCGATGCTAACCATTACTAGGAGTTAAGTCCCGCTTAAATCCCAATATTTGCTTCCTAAACATACGCAAGATCAGTCTGTAAATCAACAGAGCATTTTGCCCTAGATAGTAAATGTCCCACTGAACCTCTGTCACACTTTTTGTGAATGTTGTCAAGCAGAAGGGGGGGGGGGAGCCATTGTATATTGACTATGCTCTCTAGCCAATGTAGATTTGACATGCACATTATAGATCTGGGGAATGGAAAAGTCTTTTAAACCATGTATTGTATGAAATTACCTAATATATTTAGATAGAATCATACATCTTAGTCACGTTGAATACATTTCCCTAATGCTTCAAAAACATCTTCTTGGCATGAGGATAAATAAATGTTGATAGGGAAAGAGACTTCTCTTAATGCAGCACCTGCCTGGATCTGGTTTATGTCCATACTAAGCTTGAAAAATTTGGCTGGTAGCCCAACTTTCTGTGTCAACAGAACATTATTTACCCACTCCTCAGTAGAAAGGGCCCCTGTATATGTTTCTCTGCATTTTTTAATGTTGCTGGGGGAACAAAGTAGCCTCACAAAGGATTAAAGGATGTACTGTTGAATGTTTACTTTCTTTCCAACATAGTCGTGTTATTGACTCGAGCCATTGATGGACGGGTCAAACGGGCATTCTGAAAAGCGATGTGGCTCCCCCACCCTTTAGCCTAGGGTTCGTTCCCTCCTTGTGTTAAACGATGGATTTCTTCTCAAGCTTCAGAGCCTGAATGTCCTTTGTAACGACTGCAGAATGATAACCTCTTTTCTTCTGAATCATGTATAGAGCTTTGGGGAAGCACGGACCATCACGCTCCTCTTTGAGCTAAGCTCTTCCTATCAAAGCTCTAAAAACCATAAATAACATCAGGAATAAGTGGTACTGATACGTCTCTATGAGAAACAGCAAACTGGAGTAATAAACAATAGCACAGCATGCAAGGGTGGCCCTGTAATGAGTCATAGAATTGAAGAGTTGAAAGGGACCCTGAGGATCATCTGGTCCAACCCCCTGCAATGCAGGAATATGCAGCTGTCCCATACAGGAATCAAACCCACGACCTTGGTGTTATCAGCAGCATTCTAGCCAACTGAGCAAATGCCTCAAGTAGTAGATCAAAAGGGGGTTGCATTTCCATTCATCCACAGCAGATTGACCTGCTTGCCTGCCACACATGCCACAGCCAGCTCCACTGCACCCAGCAAGCAGTCTGCCATTCATCTGCTGCTACTGGTGATGTTGCTACTGCCACTGCCCACCCACTGGGCCATGGGACACCACTGCCATCACCCAAAGAAAAAAGCATTCAACAGTGTTCCAACCCAGACGTTCTGGGCCCACTACTCTTCAAGGCCATTTCAACCAGAATTCTGGAGGATGTGGCCATGGATAATGCCTGCACCACTGCCACCTAGTTGGGAGAGGGGAGGCTTCTCATACTGGCTGCCTGTCAGCTACTCCCTTATCTGAGAGATGGCTATGAGTTGGGAAGAGGCCTCCATGCCAGGGGTGTGTTAATTGGGCTATTGATGCCAGCTTACATAGGTATAGGTCCATCCATTTGCGAGTCTGCAAAGGCAGCAGGCTTCTGCAGACTGTGTTGTAAGTTTATGCCTTTCTTTAATAAAGCACTAAAACTGGCCATTCCTTTTTTGGTATCTGTCAGGGAACTGACATCGGAGCCAGAGGCGGAGGCAAGGCTCCCAAGCGATGCTGGAGAAGGCCCCAGCAGGGAGAGAGGCAGCTCATCAGCTGGGGAAGGAAATGAGCGTAACACCAGGGATAAAGAGGGGCAGATGGGAGAATCGGCGAGGGGGCTCCAGGACTCCTCGCCGGAGACCAGCGAGGAGAGCACGGGTCCTCCGCTACCCACACCCTCTCTGCGCAGAAGACTTCCGCGCAGAGAGAGTAGGAGGAGACTTGGAGTCAAACAGCTTTTATGCTGGAAAAGGTTTAAGAAACGCCCACTGATGGATTCTGCTAGCGACTGAAACAGCCACGAAGTGAAGGGCTGTCCAGACAGAAAAGGCTTAACCAGGCACACTACCCAGGAGTGGCGGCAACTTACGCACGAGCAACCCCTATAATCATTACAGTATCCCTGCATGAAACCACTCACATAGGCCTTCCTAGAGCCTGTAGATCAGGACACTGGTAGATGAAAACATTTGCTGTGAGTTACTGAAACTTGTTCACAGTCCACTTTGTTTACCCTTGGTGTACGTCTGGAGCCACCAGCCCAGTCCCAGAAACTAGACTAGTTTGATCAGTCCCCTAAGCATACTTAGGTCCTGAGTTTCCAGTCTATAGATAAGAGCACAGCAACAAATGATGAAATTCTATTCTTGCTTAGTTACATTCTACCTTCCCCTGGCTAAAGTGTAAATGGCATCTCAGAGTGACAAACTGAGTCCTTAATCTGAATCAGGGGTGGGCAATCTGTGCCCCAGGGCTGCATTCTCCCTCAGCCTAATTTCATGCAAGGATCTGGGAGGGAGGGGAAAGGGTGTCAGAAAGAGAGGGAGAAAAGGGGCTATGAAGAGAGAGCGGGGGAGAGGGAGGGAGGACTGGCTTTGAACCTACCCACGGCTGGCTTCAGCCCCACTGCTGATGTGCAGCCCTGACAGATTACTCCCAAGGGAAAGGCAGCCTCCGAAAGAAATAATGTCCCCCAATTCAGGTCTAGATAATGCTGTAAAAGTAATTTCCCCCTAAAATCAAGTCACACAGTTTTTAACACCTTTATGCATATATTTGATGAGACTGCTAAAAACAACCACACAGAGACATGTAACTATGGAAAATTGTAAACAGATTCTCTGTTGACACATCCCCTATAGTAGCTCACAATTTCCATACATTTCCAGTAACTCAGAAATTCCATACGTTTCGTCTGCCTTTATAGCTACATTTCATATGTCCAGCAACAGACGAAAAGACAAATAGATGCAACAGTAATCAAGGGGACAGTGCATAGGATTGAACTGTATATACAAAGTTAATACGCTATTGGAAGGTAGGGAGATATTTGTTGTTTCAGAGATGTAATTAGGAATGTAGACAATCACCAATCTGATCATAGGAATATGCATGCTGAATCCAAGGCACTTCTAGGCTGCTGTTTTTTTATGGGTGTATTCTGCGACATGTTCTCAACTCAGCGATAGTGCTTTAATGGTGGATTTATACTGGACTGTCCACACATCACGGGACTTACTGTAATTACTTGTTCTGTGATGCCTTCCCATTGCTACCACTCTATTGCTGTCTGGAGGGACATTCTTGCACTGTAGCTAAAATAAAATAAAATAGGACCCACCCCCAAATTGTTTGTGGTATGAAAAGTTAAAGGATTTCAGAAAGAAATTAGAGGATATGCAATGATAGGAAATCAAGCCATATGGCCACCCCAAAACTTGTACAGGCATGAACAGTATTGAAAGTGGAAATTTTATGACTGCCCCCAAACCACCATTAGCACAAATCATCATAAATGCACAATTAAAAAAAAAAACCCATTCATTTGAAAACCAGGCACATCTGATGACTTTGAAATCAGAATAGTAACAATTGTTACACTTGCCCTTAATGTGTTGTTCCCCATGTTCTTTGGTTTTCCAGTTTTCTCTACAGGTGAAAATTCTTTTTTTTGGTTAAATTCTTCCTTCTGATTTACTGCTGCACCATGACATCTAATCCAACACAACATTGTTATCATTATATATCAAAATATCAGCATGATACTACTATTTTTCCATTCACAGTATGCTGACCTTGGAAAAATAAATGGCTAATAACTCAGCCAGCAGACAATAAATGAATGAATTTTAGGGGGCTGGCAATCCTTCCAACTTGATAGAAGAGGTCAAGTACAGCTCCAAACCACGACAAGTCTTTCGTATGTTTCTGCTCAAGTGGTTGAGACTGGAGACACGGCAGTCATGCGCTTCCGTCTGAAGAAGAACTTGAGGGATGAGGCTATCTCCCTGTATCGAAGCCCACACAGATAAGGCAACAGAGCTTTGGGCAAGATTATCAGCACATTGCATATTATCAGAGAGACCAATATCCCTGTCTGTGTCCCAATGACGGCATTGACATAAAGCAAGGAGTCCACCACAATAGCCAAGAGGGGAGAGAAATGAAAGAACAAGACAATGTGATGCATCAGGAACGTCACACTGGCTCTAGAGAACTTGCTTTTCCATATGCCTGACTGCTTTGTTTTGAAATACAGGATCATATAACAGCAGAGTATGAGGGACAGACAGAGAAAAAGGGCAGAAACGGAGACTACATAGCAGGATTTCACGGCCCCATCTCCATGTAGAGTCATTACCAGTATTATGGGGACAGAGCAGTTTTCCACTGGGCATACACTGGGTTTCTGGGTAAACTTGAGTATTAAGAAGACAATCCCAGGGAAAACCCCAGACAAGATCCATAGGAACAGTATCAGCTTCTTTGCTCGTGAAGATGGCAAAATGGAGATGTAATGCAAAGGCCACAAAATGGCCACGTATGTATCCAGCACCATGGCGGCAGCCGTTAGCAATCCTCCGCAGTAAGTCATGGCCAGCAGAAACAACAGGAGCACACAAGGGTTCTTGGGAAGGTGGAGTTTCATTACATTGAAAACTGCAGACATAGCATAGAGTATCAGATATAACAAATCACAGAGCAAAGCATTTCCCAACAGCAGGTATCTTGTCTCCTGACGGATGTTGACACGGGAAAGAATCACAAACAGAATGAAAGGGTTGATCAGGACGGCTGCTGTAAGGCACAATATCGGTGGGATCAGGAACATCATTGTCTTGGAGTACGGAGGATAGATGATCAATTCTTGCAGGTTTTGGAATGAAGTTTTATCCAAAGTGAAGGAGGCATTTGAGGCCACTTCTCTATAGCGGGAGAAGGTTGCATTCAAAATCCTGGCTGGCACACATAGTGAGAAGTTCATTTCCCCCAGAGATAAGGAGTGGCAGCTGATGTATAGAAAAGAAGTTCTTCAACGCTGAGCAAAGATGCATTTTATAGCAACCAGATCACCATCTGTCGTCAGCTCTGTAATGATAGCTGATGGCAAAGCATAGGGATTTGTAAGGGAGCTCCGCAAGTAGATCTTGAAATCTGCACAAGTGGAATCTTTTCCTCAAGAAAATTTAACACTGATTGTTCAGAAGAAGGGAACACACTCATAGGGCTCAAAATTCAAACTGCAGAGCAGGCACTCTGGGAGGGAAGTAAATGGGTTGTTCATCACTAAGAACTTAAGTTTGTCCACACTGCAAGCATTAGCATAGCAAAGTAGCAGATGGAATATTAGCTTGATTAAACAGATGTGATGAGATAAAAGGGGACATTCCAAATTTGCCAATGCAATCAAGTCATAAATGGAGCTAGAGGATATACTAGAGTGTTTAAATGCAATCAGAAACGTATTGAGTCAATGTAATCAATAGGAATGGTGCCCTTAGCTCCTGAAATACAAGTGCATCATAATCCCTTTTAATACATGGTTCTTAGCAGACTGCTGCCATATATTTTCAGCAATCTGAAACAGTACACATACACCAAAATCCCATATATATTATTGCCACCTACTATGAAATATTGAGCTGCAAAATGGAGAATAAAATGTGGCTTGACACCCCACTGCCCAATCTAAAGTGCTTTTTGTTTTCATCATATGCTTTGGGATGAGGAATAGACGCAATGCAAAATAAACCATTTTCTTACGATTAATGGAAAGATTATTAACATATAACAATACAATACAATTCTACATCCTTTACAGCTGTTCCCTAAATCAGGAGGAAAGAATAATAAAAACAAAGGATTAAATAAATCTAGAATGAACATGAGCACTTCTAGATCAGATGAAAGACTTATCTCACCCAGCATTCCGTTCATAGAGTGGTCAACTAGATGTGTCGGAAAGCTCACAATCAGGGTATGTCATATCACTCTCCTGATCCACAGTGACTGGTATTAAGAGGGATGCTGCCTCTGATACTGGAGGAAATGTAGCAATTATGACTAGGAATCATTAGGAGCCTGATACTCCATACATTTGTCTACAGTGGTACCTCGGGTTAAGAACTTAATTTGTTCTGGAGGTCCGTTCTTAACCTGAAACTGTTCTTAACCTGAGGTACCACTTTAGCTAATGGGGCCTCCCACTGCCACTGTGCGATTTCTGTTCTCATCCTGAAGCAAAGTTCTTAACCCGAGGTACTATTTCTGGGTTAGCGGAGTCTGTAACCTGAAATGTCTGTAAACTGAGGTACCGGTACCACTGTACTGTTTTCTTATATGCTGGTGATGTACCTCTTTACCCTGGACTTTGACACAACACAAAACACCCCCCCTCCACCCACCTCATTCTTGTGATCGTGATTAGCTTTTAGCTGTTTTTAATGTTGCATTTTAAACTTGTAACCTGCCTTGTGACCTTAGGGTGAATGACAGGTAATAAATAAAACACTGATGCTACTAATGCTGCTGCTACTAGTATTATGGCATTTGTTTCCACAAGAGGTATTGATGATGGCCATCAACTTGGATGGCTTTCAAAGAAGGTAAGACATGTCAATAAGAGGATAAGGCTATCAATGGCTACTAGCCTCTGAATACCTGTTACTGGAAAACACAAATGTGAAGAGTGCTGCTCTGCTCAGGAACTGCTTTCAGGCTTCCCACAGGCATCTGGCTGACCACTGTGAGAGCTGTTTCCTGGACCACATGGGCTCTTCTCATGTTCTTTTTGAGCATTTAAATAAAACAGACAACAATGGCACTGAAGAAGAAATGGCTAAAATTACTTCCAGAAGGCCTGTTCACTGAACATTTGTGCTGCTTTATCGGCACAAAGTTTATGGGAGGTTATAAGATACGCACTGTTCTTTGAGCATTAATTCTGATTTATTTGTTGGGAGGTTATATGTGTGTAGTGCAGCCTAAGTGATATCAAGCAGTTATTATTTTCACACCTTACTGCAGAAAGTCAGGTTGTTTTCGGAAGTGCCTTCCAAAAGAGAACCAAATCCACTTCAGTTGTACAACGTGAATTTGCCAGTATGTGACTGAGCCCCACCCACAAAAAAGCAACAGATTAGAAGTGCCCTGGGTCTTTTTTTTTATGTGGGAAGCCTTTTGCTGCAGCCTTTCTCACCTCCCATCTCCCTTCTGATGCAAAATGCCTTCCAAATAAGCAGAAGACACAGAGAGCTATCTTCTTCCTCACTATGCTCCATTTAAACATCTTCAAAAAGGGACACAGTACAGCGACCTTACTACACAATGGATAATGACGTCTGCTTACAAACTGTTAGATATCAATCCACGCACTAATCATCTTTGAAAACCAGCATTATAAACACTGGGGGAATATGGGCATTTCAAAACCTTTTATTTGCAGAGAATAACAAGAAGCACAAATCCTTTGGTGTGGGTGCTAACAGTTGGTGTTTACAGATGGCTGAAAGAATCCTCTCTGTTCTAAAATTGGCTACATGTGAAAACCTGAAGTCCATGCAGGGTGTGATATCAAATACCTGGGAATATTTCAAAGCTGGGGAAGAGGAGGAGAGGGAGGGAGGGAGAGAGAGAGAGAGAGAGGAGGAGGAGGAGGAGCAAAGAAGCAAAGAGAAGCAACCAGCCCCTTAGAGTCTCACATGCATTACAGGAGCTTTTGCATAAAACACTTAGCAGCCTCAGCAACAAGAATATAATTGCAAAGATTTCTACTTTTGGTATGGTAAAACATGGTGAGTAGGATCTTTTGTTGCCTTGTCTCTTTACTAGGTTTTTTGGTGCAAGGGTGTGGTGTGTTTGTTTTTCTTTGTCCCAGTGGCAGTGTGTGTATGTGATTATTTTGGGCTAGTTGCTTCTTCGTTGCTCTTCTTTCTGATGCCGGACCTTAATGTGCTTATTCATTCTTTGTGTAGGCACTGAACAGCAAAGGTGATGAGATCTGGCAGGGTGGAAGCTTTGCGGGCTAATACAGCGGGCTGCCAAATACAGCCAGAAATGAAATGCTGATTTCCTCTCAGGTATACTGCAAAGATTTTTGTTGTTGTTGTTGAGCTCTCTCCTCTCTCTCCGCTCTGGAGGTAGGCTAGTGATTGGTTAGCTTACTGTGCTGGCTGCCATGCAGTTATTCCATAAGGTGTGAAGAAGAAGGGGGGGGGGATCTCTCAGCTTCAAGGAGGGGCGAGGAAGACCTGCATAAACTATTGTAGCACACTGTTGGCATGAAGGAAATCTTGCGAAGCAAATTAATTTCTTGCCCGCATTCCTGTGCGCTGTTATTCTTCCCCAGCCATCCATTTCTGCATTAGCTGTGAAAGAGCAATTATTGCAATTCTTCTTCGATCAGAGGATTGACACAGGGAGCTATCCATTGTGCTGATTGTCTGGAAATATTACTGTATGTACCCTGCACAATAAAGAAGGGGAAATAGTAATACCCCCAATACCGCTGGGAAATTCATTCTCACAAAACTGAAGATGTGTGATAACTAAGGCCTTTTCTAGCTACATAGCATCCTTCATTTAAACGAACAGTTGGCTTTGCTTAATTTAAGATAGAGGGTTTCTCATTTATACTTTACTTAAAAAATGAAGGTCTACACAGATAGGTTTAATACTGTAAAAATATAAACAGTTTAAATGTTCAGAGGATTTGCAATTTTTATTTCCTGAGCATATTAAGCCTGAAAAAAACCCCAATGGAGATTTACATGTTTTGGCCAATTCATGAGGAAATCAGAGACTGACCTAAAATGATATTCAAATTAGAAAGCTATTTTACCCTAGAGAGGCAGATGATAAAGAGGGCTGATGAAACAAAAAGAAAACAGTGCTCCAAGCATGTAGGATGCTTTAAGGATGGGAGCCTATGTTGCATTATTCTATTTAGAATGATGATAATAACACACAAATAACATTCTTGTCTGACAAAAATCCATTGTGTCACCTTTTTTCAATTTTTCTTTCAAAGGGAAATGGAGAGGCTATTATTAGAGCGATCAGTTTGAGCAGTGAGATGATCAATAGTTATTTAAATGTATCTCTGCATCACACTCTAAATGAATAGAAGAGTAATTTGTCAAATTGGCTATAAGCTTTAATATCAATAAATACAGTTATTAAACTGTAAAATAATTGTGATATCCATATGCATTGCATTTAGAATGTGAGAATTAAAGTAGAGAATAAAAATATGTAAATACTCTCAAGCCATTTTCATCTTAGCTGTTTTTTTAAAAAAACCCATAACAACAAATAGAATAGGCAACAATCTCAGTGAATAATGTCTTTAATAAATCGCCATTAAAGCACACTATATGAGAGATAATGATTAAATCTTTTAATTAAATTGTGACAGTGACAAATGCACAATTTGAAAAGAAGCTTTAGAAAAAAGGAATGAAAACTACAGTCCTTTTTTCAATGATGATTAAAGCTGTTTCCCCCCTAATCCTTATACCCAAGCATCAAAAAGCAGAAAAGTAATCTGAGATTCTAGATATAAGTCCAGCTCCTGAATACCAATACATTTAAAAATCCAATGGCAGCTCCCAAATGGGCCATTTTTAATGCAACACTATACCTGTCTACTTAAAAGTAAGTCCAAATCAAGTTAAATGGGGCTTAAAGACTGCAGGTTTAATTCAATGAATCTAGGATACACTGTAAAGCATAAAGCATTTGTTTGATTCTTTGATAAGCTAAATCTTTTAAAAATAAAATAAAAATGACAACATATTGTGCTTCTCTGTATCCTGACAATAAAGTAGGTTGATCTGCACTCCAGTTAAGTCAAAGTGCTGTATTTTAGCCAATATATTACCCTTTACTTTAAGGAGACTTGGATTGATTCACACAATTATTTTTGGCATGGTTACAAATTTCCTCATTATTTTGGTATGATGAATAGTGGTCTGACAAACTCCAGGATAGAAACTTACACAGCCTAGCTAGTTTCCCCACAATGGGGTCATACTCAGAGTCAATCCATTGAGTTAGGACTAACATGTCCATTGATTTCAATGGGTCTACTTTGAGCATAACTTAGAAAGATCCCAATGTTTTCTGTCATATGATATATGGCATACAATCTCACCAGATGCTGGAATATTCAAAAGGTCAGTGAAAATCTGGAGTAACTTCACTATGTCAAAAATGGTCATATGGCTCAGTTTGCAAATGGTGAATATTCATATACTGTGGCTGCAATTATTTATATAACAGTTAGAAATAAAGCTGTGGCTTGATGAAAGATGACAGCAGAATGTGCGAGCAATGGAAAGCAAGCTATGATTGTTATTTGTAGCGGGGAAATTATAAATTTAGTATAAAAAAATTAGTGTAAACAAATTTTCTAAAAACTATGATGCTTTATTGACTTCACTGGAGCAATCTGCTATTTTCAGATTATAGTAACAGTCTAATCTTGAAAGTGTCATGATGGAACAGGGAGATTAAGGGCCAGGTCATCAAGTTAATCTAAATTTTGAAAAACAAGATACATCCAAGTTGCTATTGACTAAACAACCATTTTTCAAGCACAACACAGCAGGTGGAAATGTCTTGCACAAAGGACTAAACCAGTTCTGCAGCACAGTACTAAATCTAGAACCAGGATATTCAAAGTGCACAGAACATTCCTAAGAAGGCAAGAGTAGTTACTTCCTGACCTTGCCACAACCCACTTTGAACATCCTGATTGGATCAGGAAACATTATTTGAACAGACACTACTAAGTGTCTCACCGCTTATTGTCATTTTAGAGGGAACACGGAAGCAAGAACTTGAATAAATCTAGATGTGTTAGTTTTACTTAGGACATTTTAAGCCTTTGCTTCTTGACTTGGGTGGGTATAAATATAATTATTACTATTATTATTATCATCATCATCATCATCATCATCATCATCATCATCTTTTAAAATCCTGATTTTAGACAAAGTCTCCCAGAAGCATTTATTTTTTTTTGGTGGTTGCTTGCCAGCAAGTGAATCCTGGAGGTACTCCTTAAGTTTACTCTTTGTTTTGATTGTAGATCCAGATGTGATGAGACAACATGGAGTTCAAAAGAGGAAAAACCTTTATAAAATCCAGCATGCAGCTGACCCATGAGAAATTACCTTTAGTGAGCTTGAGTCCTGGGGAAAAGGGCAATGTAGGAACAGACATAAGAGAAAGGAGCCACCCTATAGTTGAAATCCAAAAAGCAAGTTTTTCTGCAGATAGAAGCGACAGCATTTCCAACAGCTCAATCAAGACTGGATCTAGTGAGAGCATCCTGTTGCTCCCAGAATCCTTCTACAAACCTGTACGGAAAAGTAAAACCCACGACTGTGTTCTGGGAGGTGTGGACAAAACTGAACACTGCAGCTACAATAACAAGACCTCGGAGGAAGGCGTTGCAGCTCCTGGGAGAAGCAAAGGGCGGATGATCAACAGTGCCAGCTTTTCTGGAATTGGGAACACACAGAATTCTAGCAGCAAGAAAGAATCGGTGGGCAACTCGAGCCACTTCTTGAACAGCCCACAGCAGATGATTGATTACCGAAACTTTGTGCCACAGGTGCCCTTTGTGCCAGCGGTTGCAAAAAGTATCCCAAGGAAGAGGATTTCCCTGAAGCGATCCAAAAAAGGCCTCCGGGATATATTTCACATGAAAAAAAACAAGCCAGAGAGTCTTTCCTTGCTGTCAGAGAAACAAAAAAGGCTGCCATTTCCAGGCTGCAAGTCAGAGTTGGCAGGCAGGTTCGGCAAGTATTTCTTCAAAGCTGGAGAAACGTTTTCTGCTGACTGTTTGGCACAAGAATTTTCTGATGGCGAGCTGCTGTCAGAGTCCTCCTATGAGTACTCCAGTGCTCTGTGTGAAGATGTTGCTTCCCTGAAGAGCTTTGATTCTCTCACTGGGTGCGGAGAGATCTTCGCAGACGAGAGCTCAGCTAATATGGAACTGGAGGTTAGCAAAGAAATCTCGCTCAGGCAATCGCAACAGAAAGATAGTCCTGCTATGGGAACCTTTCAAGGTGGAGTGGAGCAGCTTGCATCCCCAGCCCAGAACGAAGCAGGAGACTTTGCAAAACTTTGGGACAACATTAACAAATCAGTGCAGCTGCATCAGAAGACCCTGTTTGATAGGAGGCTTCTGAAAATACCCAGTAGTGAACTGGGAAAGTCTAGAAATGAGACCAGTGCCTCAGTGACTGATCTGCTTTCTTCCCCTGACTCTTCCAAAGAGAGTTCCATAGATACAGGGACCCCAAAGAGTGACAACCAGGAATCTATGTCAACCAGTGATGAAGGATATTATGATTCATTTTCTCCTGGGCAAGATGATGAAATAAGGGAGGACCAGTCCCCTGGGGTACCAGGTAGGTTTCCAAGAGACAGTTATAGTGGCGATGCCCTTTATGAACTATTTTATGATCCCAATGAGGCTCAGATCAGCCCAGTTCTAGATGATGACCTATGTATGTCTGAAAGCACTTCAGAAAAGGCTATTGAAATCCCTTTATCAATTTACAGCTTTCATGTAGGGTCGGAAGAAAATATGGCTTCTCAACCAGCCATTGACATAATCAGTCAAGGATTCCTTCACAGCACGTGGAAAGGGAAGGAATGCTTGCTTAAGCTCTGTGATACGGAGCTCTCCCTGACCATGGGAATCATCAACTGGCTGAGGAAAAACCCAGGCTTGATTTCTCCCCAAGACTTTCCCAAGAACCCTCCCCCACAGATGGAGAGAGATGGTGAGCCAGTGCCCACCAGTCTCAGCACATGCCCAGACATGTGTAAATCAGCTTTTGAGGAAAATAAAAACAACGCAGAGACATCTCCAGCTGATTGCAAAAATGGAACTGAGGTATATTCAGCGGACAGAACTGAACAAAGCCAAAGTGATGTTCCTTCGTGCAGCTCAACTCAAGAAAGTTCTCAAGACAGGGAAGGAAATTGGAGTGCAATATCTGGGCTCACAACAGACAACAGCATATCGTGCGATACACAGAGATCAGAGAGTTGGGATGATCTCCTAATGAGCACTTCTTTAATGGAGAAGATATCTCTCATAGAAGAATGCACAGATCCTAGCAATGAAACTCTTTCACTAGAAGTTTTGAATCTGGAGACAATTTGCCCAACTGATGATAACCCACTGGTAATGGATAACCATGATGCAGAATCATGTTCTTCTTATATGACTGCTGCAACCTCTCCAGATTCTCTAGAGACTGGAGAGGAAAATGAGATGAAGGATCAAACCTGGTCTGCTGAATGTGACAAGCCAACTGAGCCACTGAATCTCAGTCATCCCCAAAGCCAGATCAGCCAGACATCCAAGGAGAGTGACACGAATGTAAAGAGGCTTTTGGAACACTGTGTCACTCAGGTTGCTTCCCTAAAGATCAATCATGACTCTGCAAGTAATCACTTGGAAGATGATTGCGTTGGAAATGAAGTGAGCAGTGATACAGACGCTATAGTTCAATTCACAAACCAAATACAAAATGAATGTAGCTGTATAACTCCAAGCCCAAAAGGTTCTTCCAGCCACCCTTCAAGCCACTGTAACATTGAGTCAAATATTGGTGCTAGTGTTACGTCTCTTGCGGATCAAAAGGAAGGTCTCATTTGTTTTGAAGACCAGAAAAACACAAGTATCCTAAACTGCATGGGTCCAGTTGCAAAAAACAAACTACCCTTTGAATATGCCCAGCTGAATAATCAAGCCCTGTCCTATATCAAAGATTTTAGATTTGAACTCAGTGCTCAAAATTCTGCCACCATGGCACACATTTGCAGGCCGACATTTTTGCCACTCTTTGGTTCCATCTGCTCAGACACAACTAGTGGCTTTTCACAGCCTTTCTGCAGGAGGAGCGGTTTGCTGGAGAAACATTCACAAGACCAAGAAGTTCCACCAAGCAGCACACCGTTATGTGGTTATTCAACGTTCCAGTGCAAAGTACTGCCAAAGGTGTCCACTCTTCCACTTTTAGAGGATGCTACCAAAGAGAGAGCAGTTATGGAGAAGACCCGTGATGACTTGCTGTCATAAGGTGAGTCCTTGAAGGAAGACCCTAAGTGCATTGAGACCCATTAGGAAGGCACTTACTTCCTGCCCACTCATTTTGCCATAGACAAAGGCTCTGAAGGGTTATTATTTACAATGTCCATATATTTTTACCCTCCAACATGTCCCCCCAAATCCTACCCCCAGTTTTAGCAACTTTCTAGTAAGGATTAGATTACTTTACCTCTGATTACTGAGAGATGTGGAAATATAGTTTGTGAAGTAAACCCAGAAAAACTGGTATCCTACAAACATTTTTGCTAGTCTGCATGCTCAGACATAAGGTATTTGTTGGCTGCATAAAAAGACACCACTCTTTTGTAACCTTTTCTTACTTAGTCACCTGGCTGGGAGAGACTTGTGTTTGCTGCAGACAACCAGCGGGTGGGACTGCCCCCCAGGTGACTTTGAGAAAAACCACACCCACCTTTCCCAAACCTGCTGTCCTATATGATGTTAGGTTCAAGAAACCTCATGGCATAAATAAATTGTTCATTTTTTATATTGCTGCTTATGGAGCAACATAAATTTATTCTTATTTTACACATTGACACAGTAAACAAAAGGGATATCTGCATTCAAAACATGAAAACATGTGCCGGATTTAGAATAGGAGTAAAAGCAGAAAGACGTTACGGATAACTATTTAGGATGTATATGTCGGAGCCTGCCGTTACAAATGGTGCTTTTTAGGCATAAAATAAAGACCCAGAGGCTAGCAATCTTTCCATGGATGGAGGCAGCTCAATATCAGACTTCACCTCTTCCTCCTGTCCGTTTATTCTTATTACCCTTTGTTCCTCTCCAGCCGCATGGCTGCATTCCAATGTCTCACGTTACCTACATCCGGTCAAGGCTTTTACCCACCCACAAACCATATAGGGTTACATAGCCCAGAGGGGGGGGGCATAACTCCATATGAGGTCATGCATTCCAATACATTGTAAAGCTCAGAGTGCTGGTCACCGAGGTCAGCAAGGCACCCTGCAATATTACAAGCCTTTACCATGGCTATGACTCCCACATGCCCTCTTTCTTTATTTAATTAATCAGTACCAATACGTTTATATCGAGTGCGATAGACGACTCATGTGAGACCGGAAGCGGGCCGCGGACTGGAGAACCATGCAGTACATATAGAGATTATAGAAAGAATACATTGTATACAGCAACACAAAATAATGCAAATAACTACTATAAGGATCACTAAAATCAATAAATGTCGAAGCCAACTTCCATCCGGAAGCCAAGAATATAAGAATTCTGATTCCAAGCTGCATGGTAGCTTCCTTTCTAGTTTATTAGCCATGCACTGGTGTCACTCCTATAGCACTGAAATTGGTCATTGTATGTTCCTGTAAGAGAACAAGAGCTATTAAAAGTGAAATTCAATGTATATTGACAGTTTGGATATATGCCCCATGATTCTTTCCCCTCCTTAATTTGAAAATAAATGGGTGCAGGCTCATGGAGGGTCAAGTGTACTGGGGGCCAAAAAGTTTGCTTAGGGGATATAATATTTGTAAATTGAAAATATCCATTGACAGGCACATCATGAAGCATTATGCCTGAATGACTCGCAAAAGGGTGGCATGTGCATACATAACCAACATTTAGAAGCATGCAATAAACTGGTAAACTTAATCATATCTTGTACAAAAATATTATTCCTCCATATCTTATGATAATTTTCACCCCTAAAAGTCTTATTCAACAATGCTGTTCTTATAGTTCGAGAGTGGCTGAGCCGTGGATACTGCCAGCCAGAGTAGGATTCAGGCGACAGCTGCTTGCCAGCCGATAAGGTGAAATATGGTGGCTGCAACTGGATTGTGTCATCTGCTTCTCCTTGTATAACGGTGCAGCAAAGGATGGCAAGGCAATTGGTTAGGAAGGCGCATCCGCGGTTAAAGACTCGCCATGGCCGCACGCATCGAGCTGGAACCCACAAAGGCTTGTCCTCGACGTCCACTGCCGTGTGCCCTCATCCCCACGTGATCAGCAGGACAGGTCCATGCCACGGGGGATCAGGCAAGCGTCGGCACACCACCAAGGGGCGGGGAGTGCCTCCTCCTTCCTAAAATGCAATTAAGCAGGGTTATGGGTCCTAAGATATGGATATAAAAAAATGGTTAGGTAAAAAAAGAACTTGGTGAACAGCCGAAGGGATATCTGCTGTTGGTATGCTTCGGCCGCCAAGCTGTTTAAGCAATAGAGTTTTGAACGTCAGGTGTGCTCTTTTCACTATAGCATGACCTGTGGAGTTAAAGGGTATGCCATGAGTTAATTTCACATTCCACAACATACAAAATTCTGAAAATGTTTTAGAAATATATGCTGGACCATTATCAGTTTTGATACGCGCAGGTTTACCCATGACTGAGAAACAGCGGATAGTGTGCTGAATGACATGCCGAGCTGTTTCCCCCCTCATGGGCGTAGCCCATATGAATCCAGAGTGGGTGTCCACCGTGAGGTGAACCTTGGAGAGTGGAGCCAACACAGGTGTGTGTGTGACATCCACCTGCCAACACGCCAATGCAGACGTGCCCCTAGGATTGACAGCATCAAAAGGAATGGCCAGCTGAGATTTAGAATAAGGAGCACATTGGGAAACTATATCCCTTGCTTGGGCCAAGGGAATAGAAAAATGCTTTGCCAATGCTTTCGCAGGAAGGTGAAAGGTGTTATGACCTAGTATAGGATCAGAAAAGAGAGAAAAGGCATAAATGTTCTTCAATGCTGCATCTGCTCTTGCATTGCCCTCTGCTAAATACCCTGGGTGCGATGTGTGGGAGCGAAGATGTGCAACATAATAAGGGAACTCTCTGTGCTGAAGTAAGGCCTGCAGGGCAAGAAACAAGGAAAACAAGTCAGAATCCAAGGAAGGAGTTATATAAGATATTGGTAAAATAGCAAAAAGGCGATATACATACTGAGTATCCACAATAAGATTGAAAGGTTGAGTAGGAAAGGATTGAAAGGCAAGAATCACAGCCACTAGCTCTGCTCGCTGAGCAGAAGACTGAAGGGGTAAATAACCATTTCCATTTTCCTCCCTCCTCCCACGTCACTACTCCCCTACTTCTTGTTCCATCCGTGAAAAGGGTCAGTGCAGAGGGGAGAGGTGTGAGAGACAAGGGGGTAGCCAAACATAGGTGACCTGTCTCAGAAATGTCAAACGGTCATCCTTTGGAGGGTTAAAAATGATGACACCTATAAAATCATCTAAAGCAATTTGCACGGCAGCATTTGTTATCAATAAATGCTGCTGTTCAGTCTGTGAAAAAAGGGAAATAAATTGAGGTAACATCATAACCGCTTAAAGTTATCACTTGTGAATGTCCTTTGATATCAATGTCTGATGTGGATTCAATCACTGAATAAATGTTTTTTGATGGGATGTGCGGTAAATGTAACCATTCTATAATGCAGATAGTCTTCTTCTTGTTCCGCCTGAGCATATAAATTCCTGTTGGCAACAACTGTGTAGCAAATACTGCCAGGTGCAGCTTGTGTGCAGCACCTCTAGGTGGCGCATGCGGAAAGGTTTCGATGTTTCACTCCCAAAATGTCGACAAAGTGTAGGGGAGTTCCGCATGCCTTGAGGCCAATCCACTGATATCGTTGCGAATTGTGATATACTGGCAATGTAAAAGCAAACTGTTCCCTGTTTGCTGGAGCCAGTGGGATGAAGATGGTTCAATGTGGCCGAAAGTCAATTGTTCAGAAATAAGCTGTTCAGAAACAAGATGGTGCCATTGCTGCGGATTTTCCTTTTGGTGGAGGCCACCGTTCTACCCACACCGAGGTATCGGTGATCCTGGTTTGCCACGCTGGAAACGTATCAGTGGTTACAGGCTGGTTTTCATTGAGCGCTGCTGCTAGCAGATGAGCTGCTGTACCTACAGACTGACAAATGCGAAGCATGGCTGCTGTGTCTGTGGCAGGATTGTGTAATATCAGGCTTAACGCAACCTTACAATCCTCATTGGCATTTCCAAAGGCCAATTGTTTGATAATTATTTGCTTGGCTTCAGGAATTTCAATTTGATGACTCACTGCTGTATGCAGTCTGTCCATGAAGGAAGAATATGATTCTCTTGCCTCTTGCCTGATTGAACTCCACCTTGACTGAATACTGGTGGGTTCTGGGATTTTTCTCATTGCTTGTTTAGCAGCAAGAGCAGTGTCCCTCAATAAGATCTGCAGCAGTGTGGCTTGTACTGAAGCCTGAGCAAAGGGCCCACGCCCCATCATAGCATCCATGACATCTGCAAGGGTAATATTTGGATTATTTCCCCTGATTTGTTGTAACAAGGCTGGAGCATAAGCAGGGGGCACAATAACAGGGAATGCCACAGTATCCTGAATTAAGGAACAGGCAAGGACTGCACGTTGAAAAGAGGTAGCTGGGTCTGCCTCTGAAAGATTTGGATTATAGCCAGCCAGACCACGGTATTTTTGCAGGATTGGGTCCTCTGGTGAGGAACTGCAGTCCGGAGGCTTGGGATCTGGAGCTGCTGCTGGCAAGGCAAGTGCTGGTAAAGCAAATATCGGAACAAACTCTAACACTGCAGACTCTAACACAGCAGGCTGGATTAAAGAAGCTGAAGGTTGTGCTGGCAATGCAGCCAGGGAGATATTTTTTGGTGATAAAGAGCCCATAGCATATCGAACCTTGCACCATGCATTTAAAATCCGAGCACTGATGTTGGGAAGCTCATGAAAATGTTCACCAATCTTGTCCCAATGTTTTAAGTCACATGTTCCATTTGCAATTACACCCAAGTCCCAGGGAGAATGTTCATCAATAGCCAGAATGAGCTGTATCAAATCACCCTCAGGAACTTCCAATTTGTTGGAGGAGAGGAGAAATTTTAAGCCTTTTAAAAACTTCTGTTGTGGAGTAGTCAAGGAGCTGCCCATTTTTCAAAAATCAATATAAAAGTAATAATAATAAGGGATCGAACTCACCGGGATCTT